GTACAGCTTTTATAAAATTAGCCCGTAAAAGATGTGTATTTTCAAACCATTTAAAATATTTATTTCCTGATTTCTTTGAAATTGAGAAGTTATGGTTTCAGGGTTTGTTGTTTAATTTTTGATAGATTAATTTGAAGTTGATGTTTTGAATTATCTAAATGTGATTTGCAAATTTGATGTCTATTGCAACAGAACTAATTCACTGCACATTCCAAATTTGGCTGGAAATTTCCAAGGAGGAGCAGCAACACCACACTTTAGGATCCCCTTAAAGCCGCTCATCATCCTGAGTTGGAAATACATTGTAATTCCTTCAGTGTCGGTGGGTCAAAATCCTGAAATTCCCTCCCTTATAGCATTGTGGGCTTACCTAAATCTAATGGACTGCAGCGGTTCAAGAAGAAAGTTCATGACCACTTTCTCAAGGGCAACTAGGGTTGGGTGACATATGCAGGCCCAGCCAAGGACCCACTCACATCCCTTGAATGAATTTTAAAAAATTGCCAAGTCATCAATGTTGAGACAGAGATCTGTCCCAATTTTGAATCCTTTACAAAGTATTTACCCTGTGAAAGAATTGAATTGAGAGCCCAACCTGGGGCAATGGTCTTCTCTGTGACTCAAGTATCAAGATTCAAATTCTGTCAAAGTTTGGGTTTTGTGTCCTCTTGATAAGAGAGCGGTTAAAACAGAGGGAACGTATGCGACGAGAGCCAACAGCTTTTGAGTGAGGGAAGTTAGGTGGTTTTAATCATAGAATGGAATCATAGAACCTCTACAGTGTGGAAGCAGGCCTTTCGGCCCATCAAGCCCACACTGACCCTCTGACAGCATTCCACCCAGACTCATCCCCCAACCTATTCCTGTAACCCTGCATTTCCTACAGCTAATCCACCTGGCCTGCACATCCCTGGACACTATGGGCAATTTAGCATGGCAAACCACCTAACCTGCACATCTTTGGACTGTGGGAGGAAACCAGAGGACTTGGAGGAACCCACAGAGGCACAGGGAGAATGTGCCTGTTAAACAGTCACCCGAGACTGGAATCAAACCCCAGTCCCTAAAGCGCTGTGGCAGCTGTGCTAACCACTGAGGCACCATGCTGCCCCTTAATGCTACTTGGGGAATCAAAAGCATCCCACCATGTCAGCTGCTGACATAATAGATTCTTTTTTTATTTCTATTCAACATACCAACTATGAAAGTCTTTAGCCTGGAGCTCATTGGATCCAAGTCACTTAGCGTCCCATTATTTGTACTTTTGTCAATATTTCGACCATTCTTAAACTGCTCTTCTGACTTGTTACAAATAAAGCGCACCATTTGTCATAAAATAATTGAAATTCTAATGCCAAAAAATACACTTAACTTTAGTTAATGGAGGACGGAGAAGTTGAAACCATGGTGAGTTTATTTTTGAAGGTTATCTAATATTTCAGAGCGGATTCCTTGAAAATGCATTTGAAACAATATTAAGAGATATGGAACAATTGCTATTTATGGTCTAGAGGACGAATGCTCAGCAGACATTGAACAAGATGCTAGTGCCATATTTCAGCAAATGCAAAATAAATTTGTTGTACTTCCTGATTAAATTAAAGCGCACATCATTAACTTAAAATGCACAGATTGACATTTTTGTAACATAGGATTTAAAATTTGGTAATAAGGACTGCTCTTGAAAAACTCCATTTATTCCTTTAAAATACTGCCATTTGAAAAGGTCGTAAGGTGAACAAATCTCAGGTCATGGGAAATTTAAGGGACTGTTGATCCAAGGTGCCTTAAGAAATGGAGTATAGTAGCCTGGACGTTGTGGTGATATTCAAGCAGAGAGATGGGAAACAGGTTAGAGGACTGTTTTGCTGGATTGTCAGCCACTTTATCAACCTCCCAATTTTCCACAATATTTGGGCCATATCACAAGTAAAGGGACAGTGAATTGAATAAGTGCCAGTATCATATTATCATTGCTTCGTTTCATAGCCTCTGCTCTGACACAGTGATGATACATTAGCAATATTCATCTCATTCACAGTCTGCGGTAAGCATGCCAGGTGTCAGGTTCATGGAGAAGGTTAGAACTAAATTTAAAGAGCCACACTACTGTAAAATTTTTTGGGAGAAACGTTACTTCCCCCATGACAGGAGGGCAGGATTGAGAGTTAGCAGCTCATAAATGACCAACCCAAACCCCTTCCTGCCTCCCCAATGAGCACACTTCTGGTTGAGCAAGATCAGCAGCTAATCTGTTGTCCAGAAGAAAGCCTATCATTTAATTGTTTTAATGAAACCACGCACCACACTTTAAAGCCTGTTTCAAAGTTACAAAACCAGGGGCCAGATTTCCCAGTGCTTAGAAAACCTGGCAGTTGGGTGGACGTGAGAGCATCTTGATCCAACAGGTAAGAGCCTTGCTAGTGCTGCTTTTAATCCAGGAAGGTCAAGAGAACTCCTCCATGCATTTGCCTCCCTCTTCAACCAAAGCCAATCTGTTTCCTCTCCCGACCAAACTTCACATCTGATCTACTCATCCACATGCTCAGGGTCGTTAGCACCTACAGACCAACAGTCCACCTTAATTTAATTCTTTGACATACCAAGGAATGCATTCGGGTTTCTATTGAGAACATTTTTTTTTTATTCCATCTATTTTTCTCGTCAACCTGTTTTGAAATGTTGTTATTACACACATCTGGAGCAGGTGGGACTTGAACCAGGGCCTCCTTGTATAACATGCACCAAACAGCTGTGTCTGGATGCATTAAATAAGTAACAGATGCATTTTCCTCTATAGCCAAAAATTTCATTCGCTCATTTAATGGTACAAATATGAATGAAACATTGTATCTTTACCAAGTGTTAAGAATCCCCAAGCTTTGAGAAATCAGAGGTTACACCTACATGACAGTGCATGCTGAGTTCTTCATTGGTCAGGTACCCACCTAAGGAAGGTAACATCTTCCCATCTTTGTTTGTAAACTGCCACCTCACAATCGTGCTTCCTTCCCTGTTATTCCCACAGTGCCTTCATTGCAAGAAACTGCACGCTACGAGCAATCTGTATAATTAAAAACACTTGTCTAACGATGACTATCCACTATAACTTTGACTGTAGATGTTTGTGAAGCTCCCAGGGTGAAAAAAACAGTATAGCATGGCCACTCGTCCGTCTCAGTCATCAACATACATGAGAGACAATTTGAAGACTTGATTCAGGCATCAAGATTAATCTTGAAGATGTCCTGCAATATTGCCTGGCATGCTCTTTCAGACTCTGATGGCAAGATGCTCCCTTGCAAAGAGGCATTCTCATAGATACTTCAAATGTCAGTCAGGAATAAAGAAATGCTAAATAATCTAAAAATTGATTTGGAATGGTTGATGGGTCCTAGACAATAAAAGAAAAACACCATATCTTTTTATTTTTGTCTTATTAATTGCAGTATGTTTAAAATTTCCTGGAGGAGTTGGAGTTGGAGTTGAAGGTGAAGGAGCTAAAGTTCAACTCTTTCTCGAATACAAATGTAAATGGTATCGAACCAGCTTTAAAATTTAAATGAAATTGGTACATTAAAGGTACAACCTTCTGTGTTCTTGCCAGTTCTGTCATGGCATACTTTGACATGGCCACTGTTGGTATTACTCTACATTTGATTAATGTGGATCGACAGCGTGTACAGAAACATGGTCAATACTAAGGTGCAATTTAACATTACATTTAAATTCTGTGTTATTGGTTCATAGAACTATAATATGACATTTCTATCTTCTGTTGAGAATCCATTACAATATTGATAATGCTACCAACTGCAAGGAATAATGTTTAACAGGTCTGTGTCTAGGAGTTACAGCACGGTGCAATGACAAAAAGGCAGAGATACATAAGGGGTAGTAAGAACTGCTGATGTTGGAGTCAGAGATAACACCGTGTGA